ACAATTACACAGTGGTACCTCGGGTTACAGACGCTTCAGGTTACAGACTCCACTAACCCAGAAATAGTACCTTGGGTTAAGAACTTTGCTTCAGGGTGAGAACAGAAATCACATGGCGGCGGCGCAGCAGCAGCGGGAGGCCCCATTGGCTAAAGTGGTACCTCAGGTGAAGAACAGTTTCAGGTTAAGCACAGACCTCCAGAACGAATTACCGTATTTTTCGCTCCATAGGGCGCACCTGACCATAGGGCGCACCTAGTTTTTAGAGGAGGAAAATACGGAAAAAAATATTCTGAATCAAATGTTGCACTAAACTATTTAAAGCAGCAAAGCGGGCGGCTCCTGTCCACTTTGCTGCTTTAAACTGAGCCTCAGAGGAGGGTAGGAAGGGGAACCATGGCTTATCTAAGTCCAGTTAATAATGCTGAGCCTGACTTATGGCCATCGAGATTAGCCTGGCCGTCTCAGTGGAAATCTGGGGAGGCTGGGGTGGACTTTCAGTGGTCAAAGTGTGGTTGTGTCTTCCTGCCCGGCATCTATTTCCTGCCGTCTTTCCCCCTGCACCCCCGCACCCTGCTTCGAGGGAAGGAAGCGGAGCCATGGATCCTCTGCTCGCAACTTCAGTGGATTCCCTCCACTTTGAAGCAGGAAAGTGGGAGTGGAGCTGCATACATGAGTGTAAGCTGCTCCCCTCCCACTTTGCTGCTTCAAAGGGAGCCGAGGAGGAGGGAATCCGCTGCAGCCGCAAGCAGTGGAGGATCCATGGTCCCTTTCCTTCCCTCCTCCGTGGTTGCTTTGAAGGAGGAAAGTGGGAGAGGAGCTGCTTACACGAGTGTAAGCTGCTCCCCTCCCACTTTCCTGCTTCAAAGCAATCACGGAGGAGGGAATCCGCTGAAGCCTCGAGCAGCGGAGGATCCATGGTCCCCTTCCTTCCCTCCTCCGTAGTTGCTTTGAAGGAGGAAAGTGGGAGAGGAGCTGCTTACACGAGTGTAAGCTGCTCCCCTCCCACTTTCCTGCTTCAAAGCAATCACGGAGGAGGAATCTGCTGCAGCCGTGAGCAGCGGAGGATCAATGGTCCCCTTCCTTCTCTCCTCCGTAGTTGCTTTGAAGCAGGAAAGTAGGAGAGGAGCTGCTTACATGAGTGTAAGCTGCTCCCCTCCCACATTGCCGCTTCAAAGCAATCACGGAGGAGGGAATCTGCTGAAGCCTCGAGCAGCGGAGGATCCATGGTCCCCTTCCTTCCCTCCTCCGTAGTTGCTTTGAAGGAGGAAAGTGGGAGAGGAACTGCTGCAGCTTCCCCCACCTCCCGCAGAAGCCGCACGCTCTTTAAAGGGGCTGTGCGGCTTCTCCTGGCTTTTCTGGGAGGTGGGGGGATTCCCCCACCTCGTAGAAAAGCCTGCAGGAGCCGCACAGCCTTTAAAGAGGGCGCCGCTCTTGGGGGCTTTTCCCCCAGGAGGGAGAAGGGACTGCTGCGGCCAGTCAGTCCCTTCTCCCTCCTGGAGAAAAGCCCGCAAGAGCGCACGAAGCTTGTGTGCGGCTCTTGAGGGCTTTTCCCGCCTGCCTCCCCCCTGCATTCGCTCCATAGGATGCACACACATTTTCCCTTGTTTTTTAGGAGGGAAAAAGTGTGTCCTATGGTGCGAAAAATACGGTAGGTACTTAACCCGAGGTACCATTGTATCTACCTTTCTTTAGAAATCTTTATGCATCTATATTGGGGAGTGTAATTTTTTTGTGGACCCCCTAAATTTGTCCCTTTTTTATCCCCCCCCCACTTCTATGGGTATGATGCTATGAAGCCAAAACACTTGTTTAGAGCTCCCCAAATTTTCCATTTAAAAAAAACAAACCCGAGGTACCACTGTATCTTCTATTCATTTGTCTTATTTCCTCTTTTAAAGCCATCAAAGTTGGTGACAACTCCATTGTCGAATTCTAGGTAGGTTGGAAGGACAAAACTCCATTTTCTCTGGCAATTTCACTTCTGACCTGACTTCGTAACTTTCTACTGATCCTACTTCGTAACTGAAATTAATCTGGATTACATACACATGCATGTAAACATATCAGATAACTTGAAGCTTCTTAGCTGGCAGTCCAAATACCCCATCAGAAGCAGCTTTATGACATTTCCACATTCTCCACGTATGCCGTATTCCAGAGGAGTCTGAGCCACACAACCTTGCAAAATGGAATCAGTAACAGCTTGCTGTTAATTCGGAACAAATTCCCTTCCAAAAATACATTTTTTAAAAATGCCACAGCAACTAGCAATGCGCTTCCAAAAAGCTTGACATGTCGAAATACAGGGTTAGGAAAAGTCTAATAAACTAACAAAAATATAGTTCCATCATGTAGCTAGTAATAAAAGGGAAATACTTTCATAGTTCTTCATCTACATTGCATTCATTATGTGGTTCCAATGTCTTCATATCGAAAGCTATGGAATCAAACACATCCCTAGAAAATCATTTATTTACTCTATTTAACCATCTCATTCCACACAACAACTAGCTACTTCCATATATAAACAAGCACAACTGCAAGCAGATCTCAGAATCACTGCTGTGAAGCAATAGTCATTCTGAACAAAATCTCTCTCCCCCCCTCCATTTTAAATGGAAAATATTACATATACTGGGGTATGCTGCTCAGCACCTTTGAGATAAAACAGATTTACATTGAATAAACAGAAAGATATTTTATTATGCTGCTAATGCAGTTGAAGCTCATGATTCAAACCTCACATAGCTGTGTGCTGAGCAACCTCTACATTAACTGAACCCCACTAAATGCTGAGCCCCCCCCCCTTTTACAAGTTTCTGTTTTCATCAGGGGAAAGTTTCATCAGGCATTTAAGCAAATGACACAAAAGCTGAACTGTTCCTATGTTTTTTATTCAAGCCCTGGGCACAGATTGTGGAAGCTCCATAAAATCCCCGAAGGCTGGTTCTTTAAGGCTTCAAGGAACAGGGCAGATCTTGGAAACTGCAAAGCTTTAGGAGCAATAGAAATAGACAGTCCCTGAGCTTGTGTGACCAAAATCAGAGGTGTTCCTCAGCTTGACTGAGCTAAAGCTTCTAAAAGGTAGTCTTTTTCTACCCTATTAAGCCATCTCCTTAATTTCCCAAACTTGGGTCTCATCAATTCCCATAATCCCTGACCACTGGTTCTGCTAGCTAGAAATTATGGGAGTTGTAAGTCCAACAACAGCTGGAGACCTAAGTTTGGGAAACCCTGTCTTAGTTCATATAACTGAAAACAGCCCTACCCTAACCCCAGTCCTACCTAGAGGGACACAGAGTGCCTATACTATACATTCCAAGACAGCCTTCCTCAACTTTGTGCTTTCCAGATGTTTGGATTACTATGACTGTGCTAGCTGGGGTTGGTGGGAGTTATAGTCTGAAATTATACATCTGGAGGGTACCAGGCAGGAAAGAGAGAGAGACAATGAAAGTGCCCCAACCAAAGAAACAATCAGTTCAAAAGTTATTGTAGGGCCAATGCAAACCTGCATTCTTAATAGGCATGTTTGACAGGAAGGATTCAAATTTGAAAAAAATTAAAATCTATCCTGTGTCCCTCTTGGGTGGCTCATAGCTTCTCTGAGTTATTCAAGCCCCTTCGCCAAGACAAGGCAGTGATCCATGAAGGAATTTCTTAAGGAAATCAGCCCTGAGAGCTCACTGGAAGGACAGATCGTGAAGCTGAGGCTCCAATACTTTGGCCACCTCATGAGAAGAGAAGACTCTCTGGAAAAGACCCTGATGTTGGGAAAGATTGAGGGCACAAGGAGAAGGGGACGACAGAGGGCGAGATGGTTGGACAGTGTTCTCGAAGCTACGAATATGAGTTTGACCAAGCTGCGGGAGCCAGTGGAAGACAGGAGTGCCTGGCATGCTCTAGTCCATGGGGTCACGAAGAGTCGGACACGACTAAACGACTAAACGACAACAATCCTGTGTCCCAAATCCAAAATACTGGGATCAAGACATGACTGTGGAGTGAAAAGGAATTCAACGTGAGAGTGAGAGTCAAAGTAGATGTTATTTTAATTGTGTAGCAAGCAACCATGTCTCTTTTCCCCCTTCATTTAATATACAGGCTCAACGGGGCAAGAGATTATCATGGCAACATGGAAGAGGAAAAACTTATTCCTTTCCTCCCCAGATGCTATCAGAAGGAAACCCTCACTCCCTCCTGAGCCTGTAATTAAATAAGTGACACCAGGAGATTTATTCCCCAACCTCAATGTTGGGCCCGGGTGAGTGAGGGATTTTTCTCCTGATCATGGATGGGTAAAGAAAAAATAAGCCTTTCCCTGCACAATGTGGTCTGGGTGACAATTCCTCCTCTCTCCACACAGGCTTATAATGTAATAAAGAAAAAACACAGACATAGCTGCATACTACACATTTAGCATAACAAGCAGTATACATATATACGTACATAATTTAATTTGTATGCCACCCTTTCCACAGTTCACACCATGCTCAAGGCAGCTTACGTTAAAAAAAATGTAACTACAACATAACAAAAGTCGTCATAAACAATAAACACTAAAAAATACACAACCAAACGGAACAATTTCCACATAAATCACAGGAAGAACTAAAATAAAAATACAAAAAAGCAGCAGCAGCAATGACCCTCACCCCTGCAACAAAAACCCCTAAACAGTGTGGCCTTGCATTCCAGGGTTTCAAACTTTGAATAATAGATTTGCCTAAGCCAAAGCAATACCAGAACCAAATCACAGGGCCACTGGAAAAAAAGTTATTCAAATCCACGATGTATTGAGACATAAGGGTGTGTAGCTTATAAGGAAATAAAAGAAAGGCCAACATTCTCAAGTCACATATGCTTGCAAATGGCTTGGGAATACAGACAAATGATCAAATATATACGAACCCACATGCATATTTTGTTGGGGAAGGATTCCCCACCCACCTATGCCATCCAAAACTTCAAGCAGTTTGATACGGAACATATCTTACTCTAGGACTGAATGGGTTGCCGCCTGTGGATGGTAACGGTACAGAAGGAGGCGCTGGTTGACTCGAAAGACTCCACCACCTTTTCGGAGATGTTCATAAAAGAACAGCAGGTCTTCTGGGGTGCCCTGGGGGGAAAAACACCACATTTTTTCCAGGTAATAGTACGAGTGTAACTGTGCCTACTCAGAAGAAAGTTGTATTGAATTTAATAGGGTTTACTCCGAGGAAAGTGGAGTAAGAATCCTGTGTGATATATTATGTGATTGTGTTCAATGGCATCTTAAAAAATCCAATGCATACACCTATCTAATGGATATTTAGAGACAGTCCCTAAAGCTAATTTAATATAGAGCATTACTCTTGCACAGGACATCCAAAGATCAAATGTAATAGGCCTTTTGCTGTACTTTATCAATGTCAAAAGCACACCTGCATGCTCCCTGTAAAAGAAATTATAATACTGTGAATGGCAAACCTTCCAGATCTCCAGTTGCTTATCGTAAGATTGCTAAGAAGCAGGTGGCATGTCCAAATACATCCACACAACACAGTGCTGAGTGAGCATCTCATCACAAAAACTTCTTGAGAATGAGAAAGAGAGATCTGATCAGAAAAGTCCCTTTGCCATTAAAGTAGTATTTTAGCAAAGTGGGGAGAGGATGTCTATAGTCTCCCAAATGTGCAATATCGTTTCAGGATGCTAGAGTCCATTTCAATGGGTAGGTCTATGGGCATGCCCCAGTACCAATCTGCTGCAAATTAAGCCGCACAACCATTTCAAAACCCTGCCCTCTTGTTTTCATATAACTGAAGGTGATGACTAAACAACATCTGTTTGAATTTAGCAACACTGCAGCCTCTTGAGACTATAAAACAGCCCGTATAATTGTCAAATGTTCTCAAAATATTGTTTGTTTCTCATCCCACTCTCGGTTACCAAGCTGTCATGTGATGGTGCTATGCAAATAAATAACTGATTTACTCGGCATGGAGTATTTATTCAAGCATTGTGGCATCAGAATGAAAATGAATCGCCACATGCCTATCCACACGCTAGGTGGCTAAATATTTATTTGAGGAGCATGTTAGCTTTTTATTACACATCATTTAATGCCTGTACAAAATGAAATTGCTAAAATAATTAGAACATTGTGTTACTTTGCTTGATTTTCCTTTGGCTTCAGATTATTAAGAGAAATATGTATTAAATGAACCTTTGGTACTGAATTTGAGAAATGCTGATTTCTCCCCCCCACTGCAGGGTTTATTGGTCCAATGCATTTTGAAATTACAGTTCCTCTTCATAGGCACTGCAAATAAGAACTTGGAATTCAGTACTTATATGAAGCAAACACTGCAGTTCCCAACTGGGGTGGGATGGATGGCAGTCGTGCAAACTCCCAACATGCCCACCAAACCTCTAGATCTAATTACCTCCCTTCCTCATTTTTTGAGACAACATTCTAAGGAAGCCTTCTTACTCTGATTCAGGCATTTCTCCTTCTTCTAAATCTCAGCTGGATGCTCTTGGCCTCCAATTAATGCCAAATACATGCAGAGACGCTTCTTCTCTAAAAAGTCAGTGTGCCCGCAGCAATTACCCTATAATTTAAGGCTGAATCATACATCTAGGAGTGCCATGGACCCAGACTTTGGGTTTCTAAAATTACTTTTTCTAATTTGAAAGCCTAATGATAGAAGAATGGAAACAACAATAATGGAGTAAAATCTATAGTATTATTACTATGGACACATTAAAAAAATATACATATCAACAGAATTGGGACAATGAATTAAGAGAATATATTCCTGAATAAGTATGGAAGTGAGTTTGGCACTCAGACTCATCGGACGACGAGATTGTTCTAGGTTGGCAGGAGTGGCAAAAAAATGTCTAAAAAGGCGCTGCTTTCAGCACACTGAAACCTACCATGCCCTGGGAATCAAAAGAGGGCACCTGAGCGGTAGTCAACAAAATACGTAGTCTCTCAAACAGCAACAAAAAATTCACAACTGCATATTATCAATTGCAATCTTAACAAAGATGCATCAGGAGGTACTGGATTAGTTGTAGTTTCCAGGTCACCTTCAAAGGTAGCCCCACATAGAGCGCATTGCAGTAGTTCAAGTGAGAGATAACCAGAGTACGCACCACTCTGGTGAGACAGTCCTCAGGCAGGTAGGGTCTCAGCCTACGTACCAGGTGGAGCTGGTAAACAGCTGCCCTGGACACAGAATTGACCTTTGCCTCCATGGGCAGCTGTGAGTCCAAAATGACTCCCAGGCTGTGCACCTGGTCTTTCAGGGGCACAGTTACCCCATTCAGGACCAGGGAATCCTCCACACCTTCCTGCCTTCTGTCCCCCCAAAACAGTACTTCTGTCTTGTCAGGATTCAACCTCAATCTGTTAGCCACCATCCATCCTCCAAGTTCCTCCAGACACTCACACAGGACATTCACCACCTTCACTGGTTCTGATTTGAAAGAGAGGTAGAGCTGGGTACCATCCGCATATTGATGAACACCCAGCCCAAACCCCCTAATGATCTCTCCCAGCGGCTGCATGTAGATGTTGAAAAGCATGGGGGAGAGGACAGAACCCTGAGGCACCCCACAAGTGAGAGGCCAGGGGTCTGAACACTCATCCCCCACCACCACTTTTTGAACACGGCCCAGGAGGAAGGAGCAGAACCACTGAATAACAGTGCCCCCAGCTCCCAGCCTCTCTAGACAGTCCAGAAGGATGTTATGGTCGATGGTATCAAAAGCCGCTGAGAGATCCAGCAGAACTAGGAAACAGCTCTCACCTTTGTCCCTAGCCCGCTGGAGATCATCAACCAGCGCGACCAAGGCAGTTTCAGTCCCATTAACTACATATATATAACATATATATAACAGCGTAGCTAATACATTTTGGAGGTGTGGAGCATTGCGTGCTGATATATTCGTGTTTTTGGTCATGCCCTAAAATTGTGGTATTTTGGAAAGTTGCAATAAATGAGATTAAACTTATAAGAGGGTATGAATTGCCAGAGGCACAGTTAATTATATTGTTTAGAAATATTAAATATCTGGTTTTACCAGTGGTGGGAAAATGATGAGTGGTCACAGGGAGACGAGGGAGAAACAGGGGAAGAAGAGGAAGCTGAAGGGGTAATGAGGCTCAGTGAGCTGGGAGTCTGTGGCAGAAAGAAGTCCAGAATCAAAGGCAAAAGCTGAAGCAGGGAGAAGGGAGGCTAAAAGGTGAAAACGAATCCGGCTGGTGAAGAGGCACAGGTGTCTCCCTCTCCTGCTGAGACAAGCTCCTCTTCTCCCTTGTCTCCAAGAACCAGAAGAAGCATGAAAAGGGGAGAGGAGAGATTGGCAATGTGCAGTTGCTGTCTCCCTTTGCTTGGGGGGGGACGGACCCTGGAGCGGAGGGGACTTAGGCAGCCTTGGGGAGGCAGGAACCTTCAGTCTCAACCAGGGCTTCATGGGGGCAAGAGCTACTGGAGATGAGTTGCTGTGCTCATTAGGCCTGACACTCCTGCGCAGATCGTGTTTTTGCTAATAAAGAGTTCACTCCAACTTCTACAGTATGATTTACTGCTGGCTTGCTTCTGACAGCGGGTTTGGAAGGAGCTGTGGGACTTGGGGGTAAGGGATAAAGAGCTGGGAGTTGGCATGGCGGCAGATGGGGTTGGTTGAGTGGAGCAAGCAGGAGCAGAGCCCCTAGTAAAAATCAACAACAACTTTTAATAGATGCAAATAATGGTTAATGAGTACAACGCATTAAGTCCATCTATCTCAGTAATGATAGTAATGGCAGTAGCTTTCGCAAAATTTCAGATGGGGGTCTCTCCCGGGCCTACTTGGAGATTGGGGATTGGGACATTCTGTGTGCAAAGCAGTCGCTCTACCTCTGAGCTTCAGCCCTTACATGAAAGATATTGTATTCAGGTTTCTATAATTTGTATTAATAGGTGTATTAAGTAACACGGTGGGCAGTAACAAAACTGCACTGTGGGAGGGTGAAAGAAGACATAACCGCCAGAAGGAGAAAACCAGAATTCCTTCAACCTACCATCTAGCTAGATTTATGCTTCCCCTGTGCTCAACTCTGTGGTGTTGCTTTGTGTCAACTGCAAAATTTAAACCTGCTTCTGTTCCTCATGTCACGCTCCAAGCTAAGTCAAGTTAGGCACCTGGTTCTAATTATCTAGCAGCTTGCTACCCAAGGTCACATGCCTATTTGTAGATTCCATTACACTACATACCGTACCGAGTACTTAAGGTTCTCCCCCCCCACACACACACACATATGATGCAATTATTTTCATCAAGTTCCATATTGTGCAATTCTTCATCGACCATGTCTGGTGGATGTAAACAGTGGAACAAAGTAGATGAGTGCAGTAAAAAAAGGACTGCAGAAGGCAGAGCTCAGAAATCTGGTCTGATGCCTAAACATTTTTAACCCAATAAAAATTGGCATATAATAGGTAGGCAGGGGAGAAATGATGTTGGCCAAGTCTAGATGCAGAACCTAACTTTCTCTTTGTTCCAAGAGGAAGCAGCTTCAGCCTGCGCATCCACACTTGGCCAGTGTATTTCTTACATATGTAATGGTTCAGCAGCTAAGCACCAGACCCACTGGCCATGTATCCCAATAGTGAAAGTGCAGTGTCACCAGATGCAAGCACATGTGCCTGGATACACCCACATGGACCCAATGAAATTAATGGACCTAAGTTAGTCATGAGCAATACTTTTAATCTGTCTGAGTTAAAAAGCTAGTTGACTACAACCCATGGCCTCTTGAATGCTTGTGGGCAAGACTTATCAGGAGAGGAATAATGTGTGGCCCAGCAAATAGTAACATCACACGAACTTGATTCATACCAAGAATCCTTCAAAAGATATATAATACAAAAATTCATCTCAATAGATTAATGCTGAAATCCTAAATGCCCCACTGAACTGATTGGAACTCAGTCCAAAACTACCAAATTGGAAGCATTAGAATTAAAGAATCGAGTCTAAGATTGACTTGTAGAAAGGAGCAAATGTGCTTCAGACAGTCCAAGTTAAGTCCGTGGAAATGATAACAGCACACAGACTGAATGTAGAGATACAAAGGTCAATGTGTATCTGGCAGAGGACATATCTGACCTCAGAAAAACAGTTGGCTTAAGCTGAAGCAAAGCATACAACAGTCAAGTGGATGGGTCAGAGGCTTGATCAGTGACAGTCTCCTTTGCATGTCCTCTAACCATGTATCTGCTCCACCTGTAAACCAATTGCAGGAGGGTACAGCCCTCACTTCACTGTTGCTTATCTTTGCGTATTTGTATGCATGCCTGTGTTGGGCCTGTAGCAAAATTTTTGTTTCATAGGTGCTTTAAATCTCAGCAGAGACATGCTCACCGGAGACCCAGCACATTAATTTTATGCTTAGACTGTTTTAAAAACCGCTCCCCCCAGAATTATACAAATCCTGCTAAGCCTCTTGCTAGCTGTGTGACTGAACCCCATTGTCCTGTCCCGATAGGCCTTTAAATCATTTTGACCTGATCCTAAAACAGGAAATCTGTGATGAAGTTATAATTGCTGCATTGTTTGGGAAATAAAGTTAAAGGATTAGTCTCCCAAACAGAAATATGTGAACAGCACTGGCAAACAATACTCTAATTAAACATGGAAAGCGGTGGAAATTCAGTGACTACCTCAGCATGCTTAGTAACATGTTATCAAGACACGTCGCTAAAAGGGCTTGTTTTAAAGCAGTTCATAAGCCTAATTTATTTGGCTCCAGCACTTTCTTTCTTGGACGCATCTCAAGTACAGATCTCTGTTCAGTTTTACCCATAATGTGCCAAGAATATCAGAGTCTGCGTTTTGTCTTGATTTTTCCCTAGAGCCCCTTGACAAATCATTTGACAACCTTACAATACTTTAATTCAGCTTCTTCTTGTTTAAAAAAAAAAAAAGGCAAAGCTGAACCAAATATTTCCCTCCCATTTCATGGCTTAAATAATAAATAACAACAACAACACTCTCCCACTTTGACTAACAAAACAGAAGTGAAACTATTCCAAGAATCCTCACCGAATTACATATTGCAGCTTAGCTCTGTAGATTTATTTCCTGGTTACTTGCAAGGAGAGAAACAAAATTAAGGACAAAGCCACTTAATTCACAGGCTGCAGTTGAAACACTACCAGCTTCCAATATACTATTGTTCTTGGGATTCATTAAAAATTACTCTGTCCTGAAGATTTTTGAAAACATGACTTGCCTAACATTAAGTCTGGAAATAATGAGGGAAGATATCGCATAAGCCAGAGGCAGAACTTCTGGCAGATAACTATAGGCCATGGGGAAGTCTAGAAAACCGGGGATAAAATGCATTAAAGTCTCAAGCAAAGATCGATGTTTCACACACCTCTGCTAAGCACTCTTTCTGAATTCGTAAGAGCGGCATCTTTCACTCTTATGAACACTCAACTTTTCTTTTCTGCTTTAGCACGTAAGAGTACGAAAAAGGATACCATCCCCACCATTCATGTTCCTGCATGGGTTATTGATCTGGGCATGCCTTTGAAATGAAAAGAAGGTTACAGCAATGACTTGTGGGGAAATCAACATCCTCCTCTGAGGAGCACAAGAATTCTCTGCATCAGGAGTGATTGAATTACTCAGTCTCCAGCGGAGGCTGACTAGGAGGAGGGAAGGCCAGAAAGGTAAACAATTCAGAATGGAAATGGTTCAAAATCCCCAAAAAGCTACACTTATTGAACTACACCTATTTTATTTTACTGAGCAGTAAAAGTTGTGTTTTCTCAATCAAGGCTATCACGCAAAACTCAACTCCCGTAAATTAGGAAAGGACTCCTATCAATTCTACAAAACAGTACTCCTTACTGACCTATTTAAAGACATAGTGGAGCCTTACCTTGCCACCTGAAATCTTGGGACTGTATAAGGAACAAACAGGTTTATTGTAGTGTAAACATTTGTAGATTAGAGTCTGCTTCATCATCCACAAAGCTTATTTCACAATAAATCTGTTTGTTCTTAAGATGTCACAACACTGCTGCAGCTACTGCCATCTCTCTCAATAAATTAACACCGTTCTGAAACTTGGGAATCACACGTTAGCTGCAGAAGGACCCACTACAGCTTTAAAATAAATGTAGATGGAGGAAATGCTATCAAAGGGATCTGCAAAAAGCTTTTGATCATGCATTCTAAGTGTATTACGTAATAAGATCTTTATTTCATGTCTCTGGTGTATGCCTTTCATTTTAACATTTGAAGAGCAGGTGTACAGATTTAGTCACAAATGAGAAAAGCAGGTTGCTGCTATGGAGACTTTTCGGTGCATGGCAATACCAGAATGTAGACATTTCAGTCTGTTTCTATACTTATTGGCAGCAACGTGACACCTGCAAGTTACTCTGCTGGATACTAAAATAAGGAAAGGAGATGATTACTTAACATAGCATCTGGTAAATTGGGGGTGTTTCTCATTTCTGTGGCATTTTCTCTCCTGTGGTGAGGCATCCCTCCTAATATTAGGGGTGTAGTTGGTGGAAGAACACTATGCAGTCTTCCTCTGCCCTAGAGAGGAAAGTGGCTTCTAAGGAAGAAGCATGGTCCCTCAGAGTCATGTGTGCCCTTAGTTTCCCCTATGAAGAGAAAGCTTGCACTACTTGTTCAGGCAATAAGTCTATCTTTGTACAGTGGTACCTCAGGTTACATATGCTTCAGGTTACATACGCTTCAGGTTACAGACTCCACTAACCCAGAAATAGTGCTTCAGGTTAAGAACTTTGCTTCAGGATGAGAACAGAAATCGTGCTCCGGCGGTGTGGCGGCAGCAGGAGGCCCCATTAGCTAAAGTGGTGCTTCAGGTTAAGTACAGTTTCAGGTTAAGAACGGACCTCTGGAACCAATTAAGTACTTAACCTGCGGTACCACTGTATAAACATGGTCAGGTTATATCCCACCTCTTTACATTTCAGGAGAATATGAGATAGCGAGGCCCACTCCATCATTTGGCTTTTCATTTTCTAGAACCATCTTCTGCCAAGAGCGTTCCATTTGGTTGCATCAGCATGAAAGAGGAGACAAGAGAGGTCCACTCCATCAGCGTGGCTGGAATGCCATTTGATCTCTCTTTAGGGTTTCCCAAACTTGAGTCTCCAGCTGTTTTTGGACTACAATTCTTGTCATCTCTGAGCACTGGTCCTGCTAGCTAGGGACGGTGGAAGTTGTAGTCCAAAAACAGCTGGAGACCCAGGCTTGGGAAATCCAGTCCTAGAACCACATTCCTCATTGGCACTTCAATCTGGTACTTCTTCATACAGCACCTTGACCATGAACTGTAGCCAAGAAGAAACCTCAGCTGCACATCAAGGTTAAGGAGCAGAAAGCTTAAACAAAATCCCATACCACACTGAGCTAAAGGAACTGGGGAGGAGGCTCCATGGAAGCCAGCACTTTTGCTTTAAGCCTTGCTTTGGTGCTGCGTTACATGTGAACACAGCCAATAAATGGTTCCATACTAGTACCAGCACCTTTGGACACACTCCCAGTGGCAATGCTGCTAATGACAATGTTATCATTTTTAACACTATGGAAATAAATTCATGGAAACAGATCTGCCCCTTCGTTTTTGTCTGCTCATGCATTTTCATTTGTGTTCCAATTATTATATGGGAGCCAAGAGGGCATCTTTATCAGGTACAACCTCAACTCTCTATTTGAAGGGGAATGCCAGCTGTACTCGAGAGTCCAGCACTGGTAACATTAAACCACACTTAAGGTTTTGCTCGTCTTCACAGTGCTTACCTTTCCCGCTTCATCAAATCTGCCCACATGACAAAACCATTCTCGGGAACAGAACCAAGTTGGCATAATTACAGTTGGTCCATGGGAAGTAAAAACCTGAAAAAGGAGAATAAAAGCACACACTATTACTATAAAGAGTCCCATTCTTAACAAGTATGTTTTACAAACCATGCACACGACAATTTCCTTCATTGACATTAATCTAATAGCATGCATACTGTAGCAAGTGTGGCATAAACTTTTCCCCTGTTATGAGCAGTGTACAAGGACAAATTATAAGAGATGCTGGGATACAATATCTCCCGTGCTTCGTTTTTCTTAGCTCAAAGCAGCAATGTATGGTGGAGGAGGAGTAAGATTAGTAGAACAGGCTGAGGAATACAATAATGTAAACTTTTATCTGTTCTTTTCTTGCCCCCCCTTCCCCTCCCAAAAAAATCCGTATCCTCTATTAAGTAAGCAGTACCTTTGGAGAGGGATGCAGGGAGGGAATTTAAATTAGGAAATTACGACATCCACTCCCCACACGTGGGGGACATCCACTCCTCTGGCCTGACTCCTTCTATACTCGTGACTTGTTTCAACTAAAAACAAAGCAAAGCAGAACAAAACTCAAGAGTCTCCAAGCATTTTATCTAGTCTACCCTCCTAAGTCGCTGTGTCCCAAGTCGTGTGTGTAGAAAACACACACACGCACACACTCCACAACACAGTTTACACAATAAATGCTATATTCTATCCAGAGATTGATTTGCATTATCTATGTATATTCTTGTTTCTGTGTGCAGCATTTATGAAGAAGCCCTCAAATATCAGCCTGACCATGGGGTTTGCTAAGACTGCTTGCTACTTGAGTGTAAGATTGAGGCTCAAGCAAACATCTTCTATTTGCTTCTCGGTGGTGTGTAGCAAGATCTCTATAAACCTTGAAGATTGGGGGTCGGAAATGGAGTTCTTGTGAATCAAGCACACCTGGGTGCTTTACTATTTGCAAAGAACATGCCAAAATTAACAGCCAATGGAAAGTACTGACTTGCATGCAAACCAAACAGAAAATATTTGAGCATGTATACACATATGAACACAGATAGCCTTTTGGTACCTGGAAAAAAGATATCTGAATGAAACTAGTGTCTTGGAAATACAATGAATGTAGCCCATAATTTGTATATTTTTTAATGTTGACAGCTTCACTGAGTAATACCAACAAAACCAGGAAGGTTTATAATCGCCCTTTTCTGCTTTAAACAAATATGTTTCAAACCTAGTGTTGAAATAAACCAGAATATCCGGATTATGTAAGGTAAACCTGTTCATTCCATTAATACAAGACCAAATGTCTAGTAAGTTTATAGACTAATCTTGTTGACAAGAAGTTAAAGAACCATGATGCACTCTGCCTTAAGTATTAAACAAAGATATTCTATGAGCTGGTTAAGCAGACAAAGACATAAAAAACAAAAGGACTGCCTTCTATTCATTGAAAATGTTTTTTCTCCATGGCCAAACAATTTATTGATGGTACTGCTAGTATTAAAACTTCTAAAAGCTAACATTAACACCAGCTTCCTAAATCTACACTAGCATCCTTATTTTTCAAGTGATATGAAACACATAACCTCTGAGGTTAAACTATGGACAATCCTCAATGAGCCCAAGTGCAGTTCATATGCTCCCTTCTCCTTTTTCCATATGGCTAGGAAAAGGATTGTGACAAAGTTCAGCTGTGCTTCTACAGAATCCCAGCTTACTGTTTATGTTCAAACCAAGGATTCTAGTAAAAGACACATTGGCCTGACTCACACAACATAGTAGGACAAACTATGGCTTACCAGGACCAGACTGTCTGAGTGTGTGGGCTCCAGGAAAGGAGCTCACAGTTGTTTTTCTCCCCCCTGGTCCCTGAGTTGAGCTAAGCCAAGGTTTGGCTAAGCATGTTGACTGTACTGGGATGTATGGTTAAGCTCTTTCCACACTAACCATGAGCTGTAGCCAGAAAAACAAAACGGCAATAAAAAGTAGTAACCAATAATAAATGGGACAAGTATCTATATATTTGTGGTGGCCTCCTCCCAATGCACATTGCGTGACATCACACACACATGATAGGCCCCATGTTGGGTGCAACTTGGCACCTCTGGCTGAAATTCTTGCACTGATGGAACAACTGACATAGTGCAGTGCTGAGTTCCTCCCATACGTCCAAGATTTATTTTAAAATAATAATAATAATGGAAGCTGGGCTTATCCCGAAGTCATCTGTGCTAGATGCTAGATACTGCACAGTGCACAGCATATATAAATCAATGGCCTTGTGGATTTGTAGAAAAATGCACGACTGCTCTGCACTTCCTGGTTTTTGCTGAAATGCTATTCATGGAAACCCTTGTGGCTGCCACGAAGGTCTTCAACATACTCTGTTTCTTGCAGCTGACACTCTGCAAACTGGCAGGACAAAGCTTCCTGAGCAGAAAATAGTCTAATTGTGAGGCAATTTTAACAATTTAGGGTCATAATCTGTTAAACCATTTAGCCCTAACAATCTCATACTTTCAGTGTGTTTCTTTCTTAAGACCAAGCAACCACAGCTCTCTGGTTTTATGGTTTAATACAGTCTGTGCTCACTAATCATTCTTAGCGGAATCAATACAAATCCCAACATAGAATGTTCAGATCCCAGAATGAAAAAGGCAGCAATTGTATTAATCCTGAAAGACCCACTGTAGAAAAGAAGGCCTTGTGATATTCAACTGCCTCAGGACAATTAGCAATACATATATATTTGAGGCCACACAGGTGTGTCTCGAGATGATATAATCATCTCACAAAGAAAGACAGCTTAGGCACAGTAAGGGATGCTCATCCGTTTGTAGTTAATCACCAGGGAGATGACTACTAAATTAAAATAACAACATAACTACAGGTGACGTGATACTTTACTAGACCGCATTCACTAATACATAAGGGAAAGGATAACAATCCCTAAGCCTACTGGAGCAAAATACTGCTTCAGCAACCTTAAATATGAAAACAGATTAGCTGTGAAAAATGAACAGTAATCTATGATTAGACAAATCAAGGAGATATATATATATATATATATATATATATATATATATATATATGTTTCTTCACAAACAATGATCCATGGAAACTTCAACAGAGATTCCTTGCAGTACATGAAACAATATGAAGGAAAGAGGAGAGCGGATCTTCAGATATGAGTTTCAATCAAGAAATACAATCTAATTAGCAGAACAATTGAGATCAATGAATGAATCACCCAAGAGGCACCAGCTCTGAGGTTGATTTTCTAATTATTCCAGAAAGCAAAAGAGATCCATGGTACCCAAATGCCAAGACACCCACCATAAAGTACGTAACTTAATGTGATCGCACACTTCCCTAACCAACAGCCACAAATCTGGGGAGCCCTGAAGGTTAGGAGTGTTATGACCTCCCAGGAATTTTTTACTGCTAAGACACACTCTCTCCCCCATATAGTAGAGTCTGGCTCTCATCATGTACTACACTTACGAAGCACAGCACCAAGTCAGGTTCTTCTCCTGAGCTCCAAGTTCTCATCTCCCAAGAAGCTTATGGGAACATTCTTGGAATCATACTACTTGGAAACAGCATAAAAGCTTAGTGCTGGAGAGGATGAATGGCATTTTTCATGTTAACGCTGGAATGGAAGCACCCAACAAATCTCAGCTATCCTCCCAACCATGGAGAGAGGGAATTGTAATGGGGCGGGGATTGTCCCTCAAGTTGTTCTGATGTATCTGAGGTACCCTGTGGTAATGATCCCTACTTCCTCTCCAAGGTCACGAGGGAACCCTGGGGGTCACAATGTTCTCCAGAGGGTAGCAGAATACTCACCATGTTGAACATAAATGCATACATCTGACCTATAATACAATATGCTCTTTTACAGTGGCCTGAAATAATTCTGTCAACACTGGGCTGAATGATGATCCTCAACATCTGCCCAACTGTCACAGACTTGAATACAGAAACATACGCAAAGAATCAACAAGACAAAACTGGATGAAAAGTGAGTTCAGACATAGACAAGGATTCTGGAAACAGACTGACAGTGTAAGGTACCCTACACCTTACCCTACCCTACAAAATGTGGGCATAAAATAGAGTGTAAGAAGAAGCTGCAGGTCATATTTTTATGTTTTATTTTTAAAATGGAACTCACAAAATTCTAGTACCACATTCTGATCAAACCACAAACAACTCATCTGGGGTCCCATTCAAAATCTGTTGAAATACAGTTCTATAACTGTTTCTGTAGCATAAACATTTAAATATTTCACTCTGAATAATAATTAGAGTCATAGAAATAACTGTGACTGAACAGAAGAGGGAGCAGTTTTATCAGTCAGGCACACTGTGAATCATGCATGCCAGGGTAGATCAATGGAACCATTCTTGGCAAGAGTTTGCATAAATCACATTTATTATGTTCAGCCCACACTATGACTAGGAAAATAATAATGTTTCTTTACATGAAGATACTCAGTAAGGTTTTTTTAAAAAGCATAGTCAAATTTATACATTAAAATAAGCACCCCACATTAATAAGCAAGGTGATTACAAATACTGTACGTACGTAAAAACATTTGCCACAATCCTATGCACACTGATGCAGTACACAGACTCAACTGAAATAAATGAAATCTATAAAAAAATTAACCAAGACTAAAATGACACCAAAAGGGTCCAAGTGTTATGAACAATGACTTGATCACTGGAACAGAGATCATTTCTGAAAACATTCACAGAAACAAACCCCACTTTGAACAAAACACCCTATGTAATACAGACTGTACTATTTCATAGCATAGATGGATCCTGGACAGTACACCATATCAAAGTGAAGTATAGGGAGTTTTCTGTAAATCTCAGTGCTGAGCTTATCCATTTCCTGTCTCGCTCCTTAATCTCAATGAGAAATGAGTCCCGGCACCCTCATTGGTCCACTAAAAATATGAACAATTCCAACATACTACATGAATTATTCAATATATACACATATATTCTGGGGTGTATGGGGTAGCGTGGGTAGATAGATAGATGGATAG